TAAAAACCTTAATAACTTAGGATACGATATTCTAAAGGGCGCGAGTAATTAAGGCTTAAGGACGTTACGTTAAAGCGCTAGGTACGATTATATCGACGTCGCTTTTATCGATAAAGGAATCCTTAAAAAGCTAAGCGATAACTAAGGCCCCGGACCCGGAAGTAAAAGATATCCCTCCGCGGCGAATAAGGCTACCGGCCGAAGCTCTAACGCTATCTCCCGTACGAATACGGGAGGTAGGCTAGGAGATCGCGGCGGAAAGGCCGAGTACCCTTTACTCTAGCGAGGCTACGATACCCTAAAGCGCTAGTACTATCTTACGAAGCTCTTAAGTATCGGATATACTAAGAGATTAAATCCTAATATTAATACTAGAGCGACTACTACTACTACTACATTACCTATATAACTAACTACCGCTTAATCGAGAGCGAGTAATTATACGAATAATTATACGAATAATTATTTTCATTTATAATAGATTATAAAGTACTAAGTAGGGGGTACGAAAAGCATATAACTTAGGAGAAAATATTACTAGTAATAAACCGGAATATATACGGATAAGGGGACATAAGGAAGCCCGAGATAGGGTACCTAGTAGTCGATTAACCTTAACGAGGCATAGCGAGACTAGGGAACAACCCCTTAGGCTACTATCGTAAGTAAAGGACTATAGTTAACCTTATTATCGTAAGCTTAACTAGGGGGTATATTACGTAGGCATATACCCCTAGTAGGAACTACCTAGCTTACCTAAGCTAGTTAAGTATTACTATATATACCTATAGATCGCTTCATACTCTCTAGTAGCTTTCCTTCTTTTCTAGTTAATTAATATATACCTTCTTACCCTCATTTCATTACTCCCTTTACGAATAACCTATTAACCCTAGCTTAGCTCTCGCCAGCTACGTAACATACCTTTAATAAGCGTACTTAAAGTCGTTACATAAACCTTTAATATTATAGCGAATAATATATATACTTTAGGCTCTTATTATAATCGAAAATTTAAGTTTCGTTAACTTTAATTAGGACCGTAAGATTCGTATATTCGTTTAACTCTATATAATATTCCTCAACTCGGCCTAGTTATTCGGTTACGCATCTTAAGTATTTTTATCTTTTATTTCATTAATTTCGGTTAGGCTTAGGTATATATTAATAGGTTTCTATTAATCGTTCTCGGATATTTATTCGTTGAACTTTTTAATAGTTAGGGGTCCTTTTTACGATATTTCCGCTATCGGATTCGGGAATATTTCTTTTAATAAGGTTAGCTACTTAATTTCGTCGGTTTTCTTTTTAAGTTAAGCTTTTATTTTTACTACTCGTTCTTCAAGGCTTTAAACTACTTATTCTATTTGCTTTACTATTCTAACTAGCTTAACTAGCTTTAAATATTCTGTTATTCCTTCAAGTACTATAGCAGATATTAAAGATTTTAGTTTTAAAGGCGGCTAGTTCTTATTTAGCTATCCTTTGTTATTCTCTTCGTTAATTATTATGGTATTAATGCTTTAAAATACTTCTTCTTTATTTGAAATAAGTACTTAGCTTAATAATCTCGTAACTCGTCGTTGTAGTTTTTAAATATATCATGTTAATTTATCTTTCTCTAATCAATATATTATATACTCGTGGTCGTAATATATCATCTGATTAAAGTAGACGTAGTGTATTTCTACTTTCTCTATGGTTCCTATTATTACCTTTACGTTTTCCTTTTGAAGGTCTTTTAATTCTAGAATTCTTTTCTTAGACCTATATTCGTTTTTATAGTATCCGTACTTTCAGTAATTAAAGTACTCAATCTTACTTTTATCCTTTTTCTCCTGTTCTTTCTTTATAATATTAACGCCTATAAGTTTTGAATAAGTTTATAAAGCGGTACTTCGGAACTTGAGCTTATTCTTACCCTTTCGTTTAAGGATAAATATAGATCCCTTCTTATTTTCCTACTCGTATTTATACTACTAATTATCGATTTTAATAACGATCTATATAAATTCTTCCAAAGTATCTAGCTAATCCTATTAGTATATCTCGGCCTTAACTTATTTCTCAAGTCTATTATAAAATATACGAATCAACGCCGTATTATTATAATTAATCTTGAATAATTAGCTCTTAAATTTAATAGCGTAGGCATAGGCCTATTTAATTTATACTAAACTATTTAATCATTATTTTGCCATTCTAATCTTATTCAGGTCTCTGAAGATAACCTCGATTTTCTATTCAAAGACTTTATAGCTTTTTAAGATTTCCTTGGTTTCGTTTCTTATATCTCTAGGATAATTCTTATAAGTTAAGAAATCTTTAATAACAAGTACGAATCAATCGTTAACCTTACTTATTAAGCTTCAAGTTATAGTTAGGATTTATTAATCGGGCCCTATAAAATATTTCTCGTAAAAGTATAGGAACATTCTTTCTTATATAAAAAATCTTTCCGGATCTCTTAAGCTACTATAGCTCTAAGGTTATTTTAGTTTATATGTTTAATTGTTAACAGGGTTATGGGGTTATTACCGCTTATTCCTGGTTCTATAGGTATTAAGTTTCTTAATGTAAATATTTCGTTAGTGTTACCGTCGTCGATATTTAAGTTTTATAAGTTACGGATTAGTTTAATTCTTTTTCCTTTAAAGCTTTCTACTTATTCAGGGCTTTTAAGGTCTTCTTCGGGTAATCTATCTTTCTCTAAGATAAACAAATTACTTAAAAATTTATTATTTATCAGAATTTTCAACTATTTTTCGCTTACAGGAGGATTGCTGTTTATTTATCCGTTTCTTTAAAGAATATCGCTTATTCCTTTCGATGTTTAATTCTGAGATTAAGGAGTTATTAAAGTATTATAATCGTACTATACTTATAAATATTACTTCATATATTAAAGAATCGTGTATAATTATATAACTAATACTTTATATACTTTTTAATCTTAAAGTTTAGAATATTTATTTAGAGTAAATTATATATTTAAAATTAATAGTTAAAAAGTTAAAAGAATAGTTATTTAGACATAAGAAAATACATTCTAGTTTTATATAGACTTTTATAGTCAAGTAATTTAAAATCTCTTTCTTATGAGCGACCGTTTTAAAGCGAGCAACTATCGCTTAAGGAGCGACCATTGCTTAAGGGACGACCATCGCTTACTTAAGGAGTAACCATCGCCTTTTAAAATAGCATCGCTTACGCAGGCGACTATCCTTTATGTTAAGAACGTCGCTTATATAATAGGAAGTAGAATAACCTTTTTCTACTTAATATTTTTATGCCTTCTCTTTTTATATCTTCTGACCCGTACCGATTAGTACCTTTCTAACCATAGTTTCTAATGATTTAAACTAAATTAAGAGATTTACAAAAGAAAAAACTGGTACGTAAAGCTTTTTTATTATACTTTATTATCCGTATAATAAACGAGCCTTAGAGTAACTAATAAAAAAGGTTAGGTAGCTTTTTTATAATACTTTATTATCCGTATAAAACGAGTTTTAAAATAAGTAGTAAAAGAACGACGAAAACACCCCGGAAATAACGCTTCTTAATTAACGGAGCTTTCTAGTACTTATAAAACATATGATGAAAGATTTAATCATGTGTTTCTAAAAATAATTTTAAAAACTCTAAGAATAATTTCTTTTAAAAATAATCGATTTATAATTAGAATTAATCGAACCTATTTGAAAGCGATTATTAACTTATAAATCGTTGTTAATTAAACGAACCAATTTACATAAAAACTTAAAAATAATTATTTCTAAAAATAATCGATTTATAATTAAAGGTTAATTGTATCTATTTGAAAGTATATCTTGACCTATAAATACTGCTAATTAAATTAGCCATTTTATAAAACTTTCAATATTGTTAAAACTCTGATACTAAGTAACTTACGTCGAAATACGAATTAAACATTAAAGCTTAGTAAAGAATAAAAGTTACGACAATTTTTCGTAATGCTTTATCTGGCGTAGTACTAAGGAGTTTATACGCTTCTAATATACGCCTTTTAATTACAGATAGCTCTTTTAAAAGCTCGCGGCGTTAATAAAAACCTTAACTTTGTTTTTCCTCGAGTTATTTTCGATAAAAGAAAAGCCTAAAAAAAGAAGATAGTACTTTAAGGAACTTGAATATTTACCGTATGATAAGAAGTTATTATAGCGTAGAATTAAAACTGTTACTTTAAGAGCTCTTTTAAACCCGATTTCTTATTAATGAATTTACTTCTTTACTTACCTTCTTTCTTTTTAATTCCCGTTTTCCGACTTTGGATTAACCCTTAAAACGAATTAACATTCGTAGTTAATTAATCGGGAACGATACTGAAACAAGGTTACTTATTAAAGCCTATTACTTATTAAAGCGACTACTCTGTTTGCCGAAACGCGAAATGATCAGAAAAAGGGAAAAAGAAACTAAAAGATTCTTTAACTACCTCTCGCCGCTTACCTTATCACCTAATCTAGTCGAGCTTTAAAGCGAGCAACGAGAAAGAAAGCTTTAAATCAAACGCTAAAACTTTTTTTTCAAAGAAATAAAGCTTGGAAAATAAAGCTTTAAGAAATCGCCCGCGCTCTATAGCTCTAAAAAGGTCCTTAAAGCGTTAATCGGGCTTATAATTATTACGTAGCTAAACGAAGAAACTGTGTATACGAGAGCGTGCACAGGGAGTTATTTCACAAGTAACAAAAGAAGGAAAAAAAGGAAGGAAAAAGGTCTTGTTCTATTTAGAAATTAATTAAAGAAATAGAAGTAATAGAAGTATATATATAGAAGCTCTTATTGCCGAGGTAAGTAACAAAGAGAAGTAACTTAAGATATAATCTCGACGTGACAGAATTCTAAAACCTAAATCTCTTTTTTATTAATTAGTAGTTTAGGTTTAACCTTTAACGTTTCGTATACCTTTAAATAAATTATAAAGCAACGGAAGCGGGCTTTACTAAAACGCATACCCTTAGCCTTTGAGGAATTACCTATGTTTTTATTTAATACTTGTAACAGCATGACGAAGAAGCACAGGGCGTAGCGAAGCGCTTCAACATATATGGACTAGTAAAGATAGACGAGGGTATATATGTGATGAATATCCAGCAAGGCTTCTAGGCGGATCGATCAGTACCCAGGTGCCTTGTGCCTAGTTACTGCATCCAGCTAGAGACCTATGGCTCCTCGAATATCACGACCACAAATCATGTTTCTTCGAGTCTACATTGTGACAGCAGCGATTCGCTGCTGCATTCCCCCGGATGTCTAGCATATCTCCTTAGCTCTGCCACATATGCTCACTCAACGCTAATACCCTCTCACCCATCTGCCTCCGTGCAGCCGAGGCCACTCCTCTCTCGGGGTCTGCAAGCTGCTCGCTGTAGCACAGCTCTATGAGAGCTTTGAGTTCATCGTACGTAAACTTGCTCGACTCTGGTACCGTGGCGCCTTCTGCCTCGCGCTCCCTGTCGCGTTTAGCCTTATCGACGATCCGATATGCGCCCTCTTGGAATAAAGAAAAGTAGGTTGCTGCTCGAGCAAGATCGACCCCTGCCTCGATATTCTTGAGGTTTTGCTGCAGGACCAAAATGTTCAATTGCATGCGTTCGCATCCGCGCGAGTTCATCGGCTGCGTAACAAGCGCGTTAGATACTAGGTATGTATTAACGAGGAGGCCCAGCCCTGTTCGGACAAATGCGATTTCTCTGTCGCGGAGGAACCGCGCAACCGTCTCATCGTAGGCAACGAGCTCGGCGTTCAGGGATAAGACCTGAGGGTCAGGTCCCTTAATCTCCTGGTCACCCAAGAGATAGGGCGAAGTTTTGGGGGAGAGCGCTACGCTGAGGGATTGGACAATCCGGCAGCGGATTTCCATGTGCAGTGTGAGAAGCACAGTGGTTGCAAATTCTTCGTAGGACGAGACTATGTCGTCAAAAGACCTAAGGGGTAGGTCAGACATCTAGTTTACGAAAATTGAGGGCGGGGGGGACTTGCTGGACGGTGTCCTGTGTCATGGGTAAATGCACCGGGCCCTGCTGTTCGCCATTTGCCTTGCTAGGGTTATTTAAAATAGTCCAGCGACGTTTTTGATTCTTGGGCAGTGTGGGCCGAGAAGAATCTGTATCGAAATGGGTGATGTGCCGTAGACCAATAGCTTTGACTGAGAGCCATTTCATACTTGTATATAGGAGACATAGCGATGAGATAACGTCACGGTCCTGTATAATATCGCTCGGTTCCAGGGTCCGGTCATTAGACTGGGCGATAAGTAAACCGACCTCCTTACTTATTAGATCGTGGCCTGGGCTGTCAGATACCCAGATCTCCTTCACCGTCTGTTGGAGGTCCCCTGGCGCGACAACCAGTTCCGCCGAGTATCGCAGCGACTGCCGTGTGGTAGAGGGTTCCTGTGCCTTAGCAACTAACGACTTGAACCAGGTAAAACATCGCTCATAATATCTCGCCATTTGGGAAATTATTAGAGAGCTGAGGGCTTGGTCGTGTGGGATGGTCCCAAGCATACGGCAAAAGGCAGTGATGACCGTAAAGAACGCAATAGTGCCCTTGAAAACCGGCCGACGGGCCACCAAACTCCAGTCTGAGTCTTGCTGGAAAGAATCCACCTCCCCAAACACGTGGTCGCTTAGCTTGCTCAGGGTTTCGTCCAGTTGCGGCTGGAAAACATTAACCAAGAAGTTATCGAGGAAGGATGTCAGCGTACTCGCGGCGAGGTCGGAGCCAGGAGGCACGATTGACTTGAGGCGTTGTAGGAATACCAGGGTGGGAGGCAATAAGAGGCTCATGTTAAAAACACTCGGTTCCACCAGTGACTTGTAGGAACCCGGTGCGCCTCTGCTATCAAAAGTACCGGCGCTTGCGCTCCTTCTTGACTCCCTCCCGGCGGCAAGTTTCCTATCCGAAGTCTGCGTCTTCCGTGAGTTAGACGTGAGGCCTGGGACTGCCGCTCGTATGATGCCGTCAAGCGCCTCGTATTCGGTGGTCATCTCGTCTGACTTTGGGTCCGCCTCAGAAAATTTGAAGAGATGATCCCTGGTCGTATCCTTGGCCCCGTTGAGTATGGCTCCTTGCCTGGCGAAAGAATTGAACTGGTAAACATCGGCGTCCGTTGTGACATAGTTGTGTAGGAGAGAGCGTATTTCATTCTGGTAAAGGTTCCACAGCTCTTTGAAGCTCCCGAGAAGATAGCTACCGGCTCCGGTGCCCTCCCGGCGAACAAGTGCTTTGGTGGCTTCGTGAAAGACTCGATGGCTTTCGGCAATGGCCTCAAATTTACCATACAACGTCCACAGGAGATCGTAGATGACATCGGCACGCATTTGGGTCTCTCTGGTGCCATAGATGTGGAGACCCTGTCCATTCCCTGAGCCACCCCTCAATGAGCTGGGATGTCTCTGATCAACATCGTTTATCGTCTCATTCACGATAGAAAACAACTCTACGGGGAGTCTTTGCTTCAAGGTGTCAACGGCATTTTCCAGCCGTCCAAGCTTGTTCAGAGAGTCGACGATGAGGCTGATGTACCAGAAGGTATCTGCCTCGGGGTTCTTCGCTGGGTCTTCCGTTACCGGGCGGTCGAGGTCCATCGTATCTAAAACTAGGTGGAAGGGTGCCACGGCGCTCGACTCACCGTAATTTTCGTTGTAAGCACCTTGGTTCTTGGCCAGATTCTGCCATCGTTCTTGGCAGTAAGGGGATTTCAGGTATAGATGTTCATGCAACTCCTCGATCAATATATCCATCAGGGCAGTCTCCTGGTTTGCCAGATAGCTCCGAAGATCGCCCAAGGCTCCAATGTCATCAAGCTCAGGCTTTCTCAGTTTCCGCAAAGCGTTCTGCAAGACCTCAACAGCGGACAAGAATCTCTTTTCCGATATCCTGGCTTCAAGCTGGTCTGGCACCGTCCGCAGGTCTTCCAGTTCATTCAGTGTCTGCAGCACCTCGTCATACATCTGCGACGACTTGTACAGTTTCTTGAGCTCCGGGTCGGTCGCAGCGAGACTGGTCCGCGATGCTGCTAGAGAATCCTTTAGGACACGGACTCGCTTCTGGGAGGCCTGTATGCTCCCTTGGATCTTGTGGAAGGTGCCTATGGAACTATTGAAACCTTGGTGATGTTCATGGACGATATTCTTGAGAGAATCTTGGAGGAACTGATGCGTCTTCTTAAAGCCTCTATATTCATGGGCCCTTCCAACGGAGCTATTATCCAGCAGCTGCAGAGCAAGCGAGACAGGTATGCAATCATTCTGGACCATGGCAGGCCATTCAGCTTTGATCAGTTCTAGGACCTGGCTGATCTGTCGCTCGGCGCTCGTCTCGATTGCACGTTGAATGCGGGACGCGGGGGGACCGTAGGTAGGCCCACGAGAAGTCTCAGTGGGTGGTCGTCGAGGGTTCGACTGCTGCGCGGGGCTGGCGTAACGATCACTAGCATAGCCATCGCCGAAAGGGTCGTAGTCGTCTTCTTGCCTCTTGGCGGAGCTATATGCATCGTTGTTGCGGTACGAAGGGGGGTATCGGTTGGACATGTCGACAACGAAGCAAGGAGTCAACACAAAGAGCGGCGAGTTGATCGAAAGAGGAGAGGTTAGACGCTGGAGGAGCCATACGTGGCTTTATAAGCACCCCTAGCCGCCCTTCCCTTCTAGTGTGCCCAGAAGGGATCACGGTTAGAAGGGATTCGCCGATTCCTTCGAGCTGGTCGTCAGTAGCCGTCAAGTCGCCGATTGATCGCTGCGTTATACTAAGTTATGGAGGGGAGATGCTGGAGGAAGATGACGGCGCTACCATGGTGAACTAAGTGGAATCATGGACGGCCCGTCATACTAAGAGAATCCAGATACTTAAGGCTGACTTTACATAGGACGCAAAGAGCTGTTAAATAGCTAGAAGTTATCTTTCTATAAGAAATAAGCCATATTATAATTATATATTATAACTCAATATAACATTTAAAATTTGAAGCAACTAAAGTTTTTAATATTATATTAAATAATTTTGAACTTTATTTTTTTCGAAACATCTTGATAATAATAATTAAACTATTAAAGTATATATATTTTATTATATTAAAATAATTCTTATTTACTATATAATTATCATAATTGTATAGTAGAACTTGTCTACGTAACCTTTCTGATAAGTATTTATAAAAGTATTATATTTAAATTCTTATTATTTAACCCTAATTCCATATATTTATAACTAGAAATATTACTCTTTTTAATATACTTTTAGTTACCTAATAACTATTTAGTTTCTTGACTATATTTCTAACTAACTAATTAATTCATCATAGTTATGTAGAATCATAATCTAGTTTAATTACTACTAGGTTAGTCATTGGTAGTTCGGTAGCCTATTGCCCATTCAAGTCTCTCTTATAGCATATCTATGCTATTGCTCCTTACTATAAGCTCTATTTACATTATGCTATTATTTTGAAATAAAAAACATTCTAATTACTTTAATTATATATTTTTAACATAATTAAAACATATATAACTTAAGAGCTTAAGATTAATATTAATCAATATTATATATAATAGTCTACGCTTAATTATAGAACCTCGGTGAGTATAACAGTAAGATAAATAACCACTCTTTCTATATATAGTATAGTAGTACGATAAGATTAAACTGCGTAGCATTTTGGATAAGTATTTATATAAGTTTCGTACCTAGATTTTCACTATTAAATCTTTGGCCTCTAAACTTCTAATAAACTTTAGTTTTTAGTAATTTACTTATTTTTCTTACTATACCTTCGACCTTCTTCTATTCTTGCTTTTTTTACGCTTTTTCTAGCTACCGTTTTAGCTAGCGAATCAACTAATTACAGCAATTTATAGCCATGATCTAGCTCGATTAGTACGAAACTAGTTATTATATAAATCTCTAATAACGTATCTACGCTGTTTTTATCGGAATCTATTTTTAGTTCTTCTTCTAGAGGCTACCCCTCTCCCGAACTAGGACCGGCGGACTAAGTTATATCCAGATCCTCGTTACCCGAAGTAGGCTTGCTACTCCTGAGGGGAGTTAGCTCGCTACTTAGCATTTGATTAAATAATACGAGTAAATCCTATAGGTTTAATATTTCGATAATTAATTAAGTAACGCTATTAATTATACGTATCGAGAGATCTATTCGATTAATTTCTTTTGGTTTAAATTATTAAGCTTTTAACTTATTTATCTAGCTATAAAACGTCTCTTCATTAAAGACTATATCCTTAGTTAGGATTACTCTACCTTACCTAAGAACCTAAATTCGGTATAGGTTACTAGTATAATATCCTATTAAATACCTGATATAAGTTCGTAGGTTTACCTTAAACCCTCTTCCATTAAAGTCCGAAGTACGTTCTCCTATCAAAGGATACGCGCGATACCCGTATGTATAGATACCGTTCCAGTCTGGTAGTAGGTCGCTCGTTAGCTTCATTATTACCTCTAGAATATACTATTTAAAGTACTACTTAAACTAGGCGTTTAAGAGCTCGTAAGATATATGAAGATTATAAGCTTAGCTAAGGTTAATATTAATTAAATAAGCTACGGCTTTAACGGTTTCCGGTTATATTTTCTATAGTAGCCTTACTTTAATCCTTATCTTAATCGACTTAACGATAATAATCTATCCTATTCTCTTACTTTTATTAGTTAGCTCTTTAATATTAACTAGCGGGAGTTCGAGATTAATGCTCTTTTCTATTACCTAGATCTTATATCCGGATATACCTTTAATACTTATTACTAAGCGCTCGTTATCGTAACGTATCTTATAAATTAAAAGTCGGAATTACTTCCGAACCTATCTTTTAAAGAGTCGAAGAATTCTTATTACTAATAAACCTTATTTATTTTCTAGTATCTTAACTTATAATATACCGTTGAATTTATTCCTAATTATAATAAGCTATTTAAATCCGTTATAACCTTAGGGGTAATTAAATAAATCCTAATATACCTTTTAAAAAGGACGTAGTAAGTAATATATTAATAAACGGCGCGAAATTATTCTCTTATATATCGCTTAACTATAATACTCGTATTTAATTATAGGCATATTATTAATCCTAATATTCTAGGCGTTTTTAACGAGGACTCTAAACGTCTTAGGACTAAGATACCTTACTCGCTAGTACCAGAGTACTTCGGAATTATCTCTCGGTTTAATAGTATCTCTCGATCTTCTTTACCGGACGTTTCTCTCCAGGAAATAAAGTACTATTACGATCGACGTTACGTTACGTGGAATACTCGATAGTATTATAAATAATATTACGAATAAGACTTACGAGTAAGAAGAGAACTATTTAAATTCGAAAAAGACTAAGTTAAAGCGTCGCTTTAGCTTCCTTACTATAATACTTTTCTCGAGGGTTCCATTCCTTAAAGTATAATCTAAACCATAAAACTAAATACCTATATTACGAAGTTTCGCTTTAGAGATAATATTAACATAGAAATCTTTAATAAGTATAACGTCCTTAAGCTTTAGATTAAAGGTAGGCTTATTAGATTAATTTAAGTTATATTTCTCGATAATCCTACGACCCGTATTAATAATAAGAAAGCTCGTAGTATTAGCTTCGACCGTCTATCCGTCTCTAGTAAGAACGAACGACTCCTTTATTAAAAGGTTACGATTATTAATAAGGTAGATAGCTCTATAGTTATCGAAGACGGTACTTTCCGATAATAAGTATCGGATTAAGTTTATTATAAAGTAGATCTTAGTCTAGGTAGATAGGTATATAGTACGTAGGTCGATAATTATTACGCTAATATTAACTAACTAGGTAATAGCGTTATTTCCTCCCCTATTCCCGGAGCGATTATTAGGTGCATTATTTACGGGAATATCCTACCCTTAGCGGTTAAGCTAATTTTAAAGTTTAGCGTACTTAAGTAAGTCATATCTAGCTTTAAATTTTCGTATAATATTAGCCGGGATCGGCTTTAGGTTACGTATAGTCTAATTAGTAACGGACTTTTAAAGGACTCTATAAGAGCAAGCTACCTATATATATAGTTTACCTCTAGACTTATAAGGACATTCGTAGCTTATTACTTTTCCTTAGCCGCTACTATTACTTAATTTCGCTCCTAATATCGGTCTTTAATAAGTTATTACGAAAATTCTATAACCTAATTTACCTTTTTACTTATTCTCGGTAGCGAAAGCGTTAAATACGATGCTTAATTACTTAAGGGTCTTTAGTTACTCGCTAAGTTTATTAGCTTCCGTAAGAGCGATTAATATCCGTATAGCTTAGTCGATTACGATCTTAGCCTTAACTACTTCGAGGAAATCCTTTACTCTTATAACGCCTTTAATTTCGTTAATATAATAAGCGCGAATATATAAGAAGGTATATTATTACGTAACATAGAATTACTCGGGATTATAAGTACTTACCTTTACTCTTTAGAGTACCTTACGGTATTCTCGCCTAACGAACGTCTTAATAATAACTTCGGTGGGAGTAATTTACTTACGGAGGATCTTTACGAGGTTTTAAATAATCGGGTCGAGGTCTAGAAATTATATCTTTATATTAGCTACCTTAAGAAAGCCTACGGAAATAAAAACGAGAATCTAACCATAAAGAATCTTATGTTACTTATTAGTAGCTATAACCTAAGCCTCGATCGTTATTTACTAGGAAACGAATTTATTATTGAGGAGGAGCAGAGCGTACGCGATATTAGAGACCCGGATAGGTTTATTCGAAAGTATATTCTATCGAAGACTATAGTACGTACGATGGTCTAGGATAGATGAAACTAGTGTCGCTATATTAATCGAGAGGCGAGGAATCTAATGCGGTTATCGTATCTTAGCTATATCCCTTGGTCGTAGAGATGTAGTAGTCGCTAGCCCGAAGGCATAAGATATAAAAGGAGAAAAGGGGCAAAACGTAAAAGTTACTTATTCGGCTATAGCGGTACGACGAAGTAACTTAAGCGCCTATAACTAAAATAAATATACTAATCGGAGAACGACGAGTTTAATAATAAAAACGAATCTTTAATTAAGATAAAAATAATAAAGATAATAATCTAGTTAGGTAATGAATTAGATGATAAGTATCGTATGTCCCGTACTTACGGAAGATATAGTTACTCTATATAGGCATAAGGCCTATCGTAGCGTATTACGTAATGCATTAAGAGGGCATGTCTTACCGTACTACTACATTATACGTAGTCGTTTATTACTCTCGAGTTCGAGCTTAAAGCCTTAGTAATTAATCTCCTCGGTCTTCGGTTAGGATCGACGCTTACTAAACAGGAGCAGCGTAGGCACGCTAACGGAGGTACGAAAAGGACTACCTAATTACTAATAACTAGCCTAATACTAATTAACCTTAAATCATAGCTGTAAATAGCTATAATCAGTTAATCGGCTAGCTAAAAACGGCAGCTAGGAAAGGGAGACTAGAGAAGGGATAAAGGTAACGAGGATAGCTAGAAAGGTATGATAAGAAACGAGTAAATGGCTATAGGTCTTAATATCTATAGGTTTAAGTTTTACTAATGAAAATATAAGTACTGAGGAGGAGTAGAGCGTATACGATACTAAAGACCCGGATAGGTTTATTCGAAAGTATACTTTATCGAAGACTACGGTACGTACGATGATCTAGGATAGATAAAATTAATATCGCTATATTAATCGAGAGGTAAGGAATCTAATATAGTTATCGTATTTTAGCTATCCCCTTTAGTTATAGAGATATAATAGTCGCTAATCCGAAGGCATAAGAGGTAAGAAGAAAAAAGGAGTAAAACGCAAAAGTTACTTATTCGGTTATAGCGGCGCGACGAAGTAACTTAAGCGACTATAATTAAGATAGATATATTAATCGGAGAACGACGAATCTAATGGTAAAAACGAATCTTTA